TATTTTTTTGCATTAACAACAAATTAAAAAATACAGCTTTGCATTAAAAATATAATAACATGCCACGATTTTTTTACAATGATATTCACTTTAATTCCCCTTGATAATACAGTTTAACAACATGTATTTTTTGCATTAAAAATTTTAAAAATTAAAAATACTTCTTTAATGCAAAACTACATTAAAAATATAATACAGTTTAACAACATGTATTTTTAATGTACTTTTTTGCATTAACAACAAATTAAAAAAATACAGTTTTGCATTTAAAATATAATAACACGCCACGGTTTTTTTACAATGATATTCACTTTAATTCCTCATGATAATACAAGTTTAACAACATGTATTTTTTGTATTAAAAATTTTAAAAATTAAAAATAATTTTTTAATGCAAAACTGCATTAAAAATATAATACAGTTTAAGAACATGTATTTTTTTTGCATTAACAACAAATTAAAAAATACAGTTTTGCATTAAAAATATAATAACATGCCACGATTTTTTTACAATAATATTCACTTTAATTCCTCATGATAATACAATTTAACAACATGTATTTTTTGTATTAAAAATTTTAAAAATTAAAAATAAATTTTTAATGCAAAACTGCATTAAAAATATAATACAGTTTAACAACATGTATTTTTTTGCATTAACAACAAATTAAAAAATACAGTTTTGTATTAAAAATATAATAACATGCCACTATTTTTTTACAATGATATTCACTTTAATTCCTCTTGATAATACTGTTTAACAACATGTATTTTTTTGCATTAAAAATTTTTAAAATTAAAAATACTTCTTTAATGCAAAACTGCATTAAAAATATAATACAGTTTAACAATATGTATTTTTTTGCATTAACAACAAATTAAAAAATACAGTTCTGCATTTAAAATATAATAACATGCCACGATCCTTTTACAATGATATTCACTTTAATTCATCATGATAATACAGTTTAACAACATGTATTTTTTGTATTAAAAATTTTAAAAATTAAAAATACTTTTTTAATGCAAAACTGCATTAATAATATAATACAGTTCAACAACATGTATTTGTTAATCTATTTTTTTGCATTAACAACAAATTAAAAAATTCAAATATAATAACATGCCACAATTTTTTTTACAATGATATTCACTTTAATTCCTCATGATAATACAGTTTAACAACATATATTTTTTGCATTAAAAATTTTAAATATTAAAAATACTTCATTAATGCAAAACTGCATTAAAAATATAATACAGTTTAATAGCATGTATTTGTTAATGTATTTTTTTACATTAACAACAAATTAAAAAATACAATTTTGCATTTAAAATATAATAACAAGCCACGATTTTTTTACAATGATATTCACTTTAATTCCTCATGATAATACAATTTGACAACATGTATTTTTTGCATTAAAAATTTAAAAAATTAAAAATAAATTTTTAATGGAAAACTGCATAAAAAATATAATGCAGTTTAACAACATGTATTTGTTAATGTATTTTTTTGCATTAACAACAAATTAAAAAATACAGTTTTGCATTAAAAATGAAATAAAATGTATTTTTTTGTATAAATAATCTATCAAAATGTTGTTTAATTCCTAATGATAATCAAAAACAATTTTTTCAGAAAATCACGATTTCTCAAAAAAATTGATCATGAATAAAAACAAAAAAAAACAGTTCTTCACAGACCAACCCAACATCAGTCATTCGAACTTAAAAATCTGCCTCAAAGAGAATAAATTACATCAAATTGAATACATATTTTGATAAACACCACTATAAGGAATCAAAGCCCTATAATATTAACACATTATTATCAAAATATTAAATAAAATCGATTGAATTGAGGAAAAAAAAAAAACACAGTTCTCACAGACATCAATCAGTCATTCAATCTAAAAAATCAAGCTCAAATTGAATAAATCAGATAAAATTGAATACATGTGATGACAAAAATCACTATAACGAATCAAAACCCTATAAATTCAACACATTATTTGTAAAATATTTACTGAAATTGAGAAAATGGCGGAAAAAAAAAAGGCACAGTCCATTTTTTTTATCAGACATCGCTCTTTTTCCTATAAAATCCATCTCAAATTGAATAAATATAATCAAATTGAATACATGTGATGATAAACAACACTACAACGAATCAAAACCCTATAAATTTAATACATGATTTTGTAAAATATTGACTGAATTTGATTGCATGGCAGAAAAAAAAAAAAAAAACACAGTTCTTACCTTTTCTTCGTGCACCTGTGCCTTCAAACTCAAAAGTGATATATATTCCTCCAAGATAATCACAAATTTTGAATACAAAAGTTTGATCAACACGCTTACGATTACTCACCCTGAAATTTTGCAAAAAATGATGTGTTCTTTCTCTTGAAATCAGTGAAATGGTGGAAACCCTAAAATTCACTCTTCGATCCAAATTTGTTGATAAAAAACGGTGCTTTTTAATTCGTTTTATTGACTGAAATTGATGTGAAATTTGAATTAAAGCCTGTAAGATTCGTTCATAAGGCTGAAAAAATTGAAAATTGATAACAAAATGATAAAAAAAATTGAAATCCCTTGAAGAACACTGTGCAGTCCTTGTTCTTGCAGGTGACTCGGTCTGACTCGGTCAGACTCATGAGTCACTGTTGGGAATAGCCCGGTTCTCTCTGGACACGGGCGATTCCCGGTTTATTTGTGGAACTGGCTCGTTCTCTGGCGATTCTCGAGTCGAACAGGGCGAGTCCGGCTCAACTCGGCGATTTTTTAATCCTTGATGTCATTATAACGAATTTGTAATATTATAATCCGAATCGCTGATTCACCAATTCGGATGAGTTTTTGAGGTGCCCAATCGGGGCCACCGATCCATTTTTTACACCAATGGTTTAAAAAAAGGATCGGACACCTCAAAACCCATTCGAATTGGTGAATCGACGATCCGAATCGGGAATCTGTCGAATCAGTCGGATTGTGCCTTACAAAAAATCCAAAAAAAGTATTAAAATTCATTATAAATGTTGTTTTTTAAGAATCCAATAAGAAATCGGGGTACTACATTATTAACTTTCGTTTTTTCATCAATATATGAATATTGAGATGATCTTTTCTAGCATGAACTTATTTTAACCATTAAATTACATCATACAAAATAAAAATCATAGAATTACCATGGATGAAGTATATAATCATACATGGACTACAATAAAGAATGATTTTTTGACAAGAACATTTTAGTTTTTTTTACAATAACCTTTTATTTTTTACAAGAAATGTTTGTAGTATTACATTTTTTTTTTAGCAAGAGCCTCTTTTTTTTGACAAAATTTTAGTCGTATTACTTTTTTTTTTTTTTATGATAACTTTTTTTTTTTACAAGAAAAAGAAATTTAATAAGAAAAGGAATTGATAAGAACCTTTCGTTTCTTTTCTTTTTTTTTTATAAGAAACTTTTTATTTTTTTAATAAGAAAAAAAATTTACAAAAAGCAAAATTGATAAGAACCTTTCATTTTTTCTTTTTACAAGAAACCTTTTATATTTTTGATAAGAAAAAAAAATTTGACAAAAAAAAGAGAAAAACAACATTTCCAAAATTCAAAATAACCACCCCATCCATACGAGGATTCAAACCAACAACCTCCACACAATACAAGGATATGACAACTAGATAACCAATATACCACATACAACATGTTAATATTAATAGTGAGAATAAAATTCTACAATATATAAACGTTTCAGGCTATTACATTTTCACAATATCCCCATCAAAAAGGTAGAAAACAACTCAAGTGAATAAATTCTTCTTTGTACTCAACACTAGTAACACGTGTGAAACAGCTAGGGCTACATGAAAAGTGTGCGAACCTCATGTACTTAGTTCTTTGACCTATTTTAGGTGGTGTGGGAAAGAATTTTAGGAATTGAATGAAATGCAATGGTTTTAAGAAATTTTAGGTGGTGTGGGAAAGAATTTTAGGGTAGGTGGTGTGGGAAAGAATTTTAGGGTTTGAATGGAATGCAATGGTTTTAAGAATGTTTAGGTGTTGTGGGAAAGAATTTTAGGGTTTGAATGAAATGTAATGGTTTTAATTTATTCGGTTGCTCATGAAGTGAAGAATTTTTAATTTATTAAGTTTTATTGACTTATTCTAGGTGGTGTGGAAAGAATTTTAGGGTTTGAATGAAATGTAATGGTTTTAAGAAATTTTAGGTGGTGTGGGAAAGGATTTTAAGGTTTGAATGAAATGTAATGGTTTTAAGAATTTTAGGGTTTGAATGAAATGTAATGGTTTTAATTTATTCGGTTGCTCATGAAGTAAGGAATTTTTAATTTATTCAGTTTTTTTATGAAGTGAAGAATCGGGAGAGTAGAGCGTTTCAAATTTTAGTGAAGAATCGGGAGAATAAAGCATGTCAAATTTTTTTAGTGGAATCGACATGGGACCGATTTCTATGTCAAGTTGGTGGAATCATGGGGACCAATTCCTATGTCAACTCGGTGGAATCATGGGGATCGATTTCCATGTTGACTCGATTCCTACCTCAACTCGTTGGAATCATGGGGATCGATTTTCATGTCGACTCGATTCCTATGTCAACTAGGTGGAATCATGTGGAATCGACATGGGTTCGAGTCCTATATCAACTCGGTGGAATCATGGGGATCGATTCTCGTGTCGATTCGATTCTTATGTCAACTCGATGGAATCATGAGACCGATTTCTATGTCGCTGGTAGAATCATGGGGACCAATTTTCGTGTCGACTCGAGCATGTCCTTTACGACTCGCCTATTTTTCAATCCCTCCTTGAAACCATGTAGAAACTTTTTCAAAAAAACCAACCGATAAATTGAAACCATGTAGAAACTTCTTCAAAAAAACCAACCGATAATCTCAAGTTTAGGCTCCTAGTTTTCACGAAATAACTAATGTACCCCTTGTCGATACCCTATAAATTGCTCATCGATAGCGTCGCGTTATGCCCTAGTTTCTCTTATACTTTCCTCAACGAGTGCGACGAACGAGCAGGCCATCATGGTAATCTCTCAAGTTTTAAGCTTCGATTTTATCGTTTTACTCTGAAACTCTTCATAGGTTCTCTATCCGCCTCTGCTATGGCAAGATTGGTCAGTATGCCCGTGACGATTTCCTTAATCGGGCCTTTTGTGAAGTTCTGAGCCTCGAAATTATTTAGAATTAGGGTTTCAATGTTATTTACAGAAAAGTTGCTAGATTTGAGGTTTGTGCTTCAAATTTTAACTGTATGGACTTTGATGGTTTCATATTACTAGAAAACTTAGTTTTTTAATGGTTTGTCCAGGTTTGTGTTGCTTTATTTCTCCAGTGGCGAAATACCGGAGATGAAATGTGTTTTTTGTTTTGTTTTTTGCACATATGCACATATGGATGTTATACTTCACTTCAATTTTATGGATTTAATAGTGTTGATGCAAATATCATGGCTTTATTAGATTTGGCAATTTATCTTATTAAGATGATGAAATGTTAGGGGTTTCTGTAATATGCCAAATAAGTCTTTTATGTGACATTTTATCTATGCTTTCCTTATTTATTTTGTTAGAAATTTTTACGAAATTCTTTTCCTTTATATAGACTTCTTCCAATGTTTTTGGTGGAGAATTTGGTGTACTTTTTTTTTTTACATGACAGTGGTATAGTTGTTCCTAGCTTCCAGCTGCCATGTTTTTCCTTAATTCATTTATACAAAACAATGGTTAGAAGGCTTCTTTATGTTTTTTTTTAAAACCCTTATATATGTTGCTCTGTCTGTATTCTTTCATTGGTGTAACTGCACATATACAATGTTGATCGAATCATATTGCTATTTATTAGAAAGAAAAACCAAAAGTATATATACGCTTTCTAGCAATGATTAACATGCATATACATGTCCATATAATTTTTCTTTCTACTAATGTGGCACCTCTTCTCATTCTTCTTTGTGAATGACTGTATATCATTTGGATGTAGGCATGCAAATGTAGGCATAACTGTTTTGCTTATTATCCCTTAGAGTTGTTCAAGGACAAAGTACGTTTATCCTTCTTTCTATTATTATATTGTACAGGTTAAGGTTGTGGGATACAATTTGTTGGTAATTACCTTAATTGTAGATATTCTTTGACTCATAAGGTTTTGAAGACCTTGCTCATTTCACATGTGATCTCTCATTGAAATCATGGAGTGGTTGAATACAGTTTATCTTTCATTGAGTTCCAGTATTCAAGTATTTAACATAGTTACCTGTCAAAGTGAGCATCTTAGGTGCAAACATAATGACCGTCATTGTTCCTTTGCATACGTCCCCTCCTCCTCTCTCTCTCTCTCTCTCTCTCT